GTATCTGTTTTTAATATTTCAACTTATTTGGATTTTGGGGGGGGGGGGAAACTCTTGTCAAGGTATCCATGGATAGACTGAGTCAGGAATAATTTACATGCCATAAGGGGGAGAAACTTTGCCAGTCATTTATACCACATTAAGATACGACAGTCTGGGCAGCACGAATAGTATTATGCTAATAAGCTGTGCTCTTCGCCTTTAGAGAAGCTGGTATCGGCTGACTGGCATACCGGGGTAGCACTGCACTGCGATCGCTAAGACCAAGCCCTCCTTAGTCCCACTTTAAAATCGTAATTTGTCGAAAACCCCTATAAGCGTGTTTCAAGGACAGAACAGGCTGTACCTCTGGTGGACTCATTACATACTACGTCAGACTCTGTTATGCAGGAGCTCCCTGTTACTGGAGTACACATAACCCCCGAAAACACAATTAGAAAAACCTGCCGTGAGAACAGATACATTTTCAACAAATTACATCTGCAGAAAAATGCACCAGTGATGCTTCGTTTCTGAACAGGTCTCACGTGGAATTTTAATGGAACGTTTCTACTCCACGAATTGCGGTTTTATGTGAACCTGTCTTCACAGATGTGTTGAGTGTTTTTGACCCTCCAGAAGCGGCCCCATCAGAACCTGCCTGATATTCTCAGCGACGCTCTTGCTTTGCTGACCTTTATTCCGGTTTCTGGTGTTACAGGCAGACGTCTTGCTCCTTTGAGCTTCATTGTCAGGTTGTCACGCAGCTCAGAAATCCGCCTCGCACGTTCGAAAGGTGTTGGTGCTCTCTAATGTCACTGCTGTGGTGCTACACTTAAGATGATCAAAGTTTGCCATCAGGGCAAGATCCCGGTGGTAAGAAGTGGTTTAAGACCCCTCGATTAATTACCCTGTAGCGCCCCCTTTGTCACATATTCTCTTATTGAATCTCTCAGCTAAGCCGTATTACACCTATTACTGAATAAAAATAAAACAAAAGGAAATAATTTATATATAATAGACGCCTTAAATGGCACATCTATATTATATATCTTAAATATAAAAATATCTGAAGTCAAAAAATTTTTGATAATGTTGTAGTGCATGAAATAGTTCAGATAGAACAGTTTGATGTAATGCACGTTTAAGCCAGGTTTCAGGGGAAGCAGGGTTTTGATATGGTTAGTTGCAAAGGATAGACATCGGTGGCCCAAACTGGTACTCAAGCAGAGAGGAAACTGGGGTCCTGTCTCTTTAAAGCGGTGTTGACGTGTTTTGACAGCTCGCGATAGAGAAGATGCTTGGGCATGGGAATTTTTCAAAAGCACATTGTTGCAAGTGCAAGAGGACTTCATACCTGTTTCCAGCAAAACTAAATCTAGGAAACGACAACCAAGGTGGTTTACTAAGGAAATTAAGAATAAAGTCAGGAGGAAAAGGGCTCTGTTCCACAACTGGAAAATAACTAATGATTTCAAAATCAAGCAGGAGTATCTAAGTCTACAGGCAGAGTTAAAAAATGACATTAGGCTATCAAAGAGGGATGTAGAAATAAAAATTGCATTGGAGGCTAAGCATGACAGTAAAGGTTTCTATGGAGTCAGAATAGTGCCATATGTACT